ATAGACTCAGAACTTTTGCACTGCTAACAGAACTGCAAGTGCCTCTCTCTCAGTCGCGGAATAATTTCTTTGTGTTTGATTTAAAGTTCGAATAAAAAATGCCACGGGCTGCTGATTTTGCGAAAGTACCACTCCCACCGCATAATTCGAAGCATCCGCTGAAATTTCTAAATTCTCAACGTTCTCAGGAAATTTCAAAACAGGGGCTTGCGTTAATGCTTGCTTTAATTTTTCGAAAGCACTATTGGCTTCGGCCGTCCACGAGAATCTTTCCTTTCTCCTTTTTAGTTTTACAAATGGTTCAGCAATAGCTGCAAAATCTTTTATAAAGGACCTATAATATGAACAAAGTCCTAGAAAAGAAGAGAGCTTCTTCGCCGTATTTGGCGGCGGATACTTTTGCACAGCGATTATTTTTGATTTGTCTGTCTCGATTCCTTTCTGAGATATTTTGTAACCTAAGTATTTTAATTCAGGGGCTGCAAATTTGCACTTTTAGACATTAACTTTTAGACTGGCCTCATTTAATAATGAAAACACCTGTCTTAAATCCTGTACATGTTGCTCCAGATTATCACTAGTAATAATGATATCGTCTAAATAGATAAATGTGGTCTTTCCCAGAACAGGCCTTAGCACAATGTCCATACATCGCTGAAATGTTGCCGGTGCCCCTGAAAGGCCAAACGGCATACGCAAGAATGCATAAGTGCCAGACTTGGTTATAAAAGCAGTCTTAGGCACATCTTCTGGTTTACGCCCTATTTGAAAATAACCAGTCGTTAAGTCTAACGTAGTCATATATTTGGTAGAAGTTATGTTCCTTAGAAATTTCTTCAATAATAGGTAACGGATATACCGGATATTTAGTCATGGAGTTTAATTTACGATAGTCAATTGCGAAAAACGCCACCTTTTCGGATGTGTTACCGGATAGTCATTATTTTTCTTACATAACACAACCGGGCTAGCATAACTACTTGAGATGGGCGTTATGATCTTTTTACGTAACATATCTCGAATGTGCCACTCTATAATTTTTTTCTTATTTCTTATCATATCGATATGGTTTGTGGCGACCTGGAAGTGAATCTCCGGTGTCGATACTATGGTTAGTAACTTGAGTAAATCCTGGAATATCACTAAATAACGAAGCAAATTCACTTACCACTTGTTGGATTCTTTGTTGCTCTTCATTAGGCAGGTGGTCAAGGTTTAACATCGGCGGCTCCGATTTTTCTTCTCGAACTGGTTTCATCGTCAGCTTAAGGGACGCTTCACTAAATTCCAGTGTTGCTTGTACCTCTGAAAGAAAATCTATTCCTAAGATAATATGTGCTTGCAGATTCTTTACTATAAAAAACATAACCTTTACTTGTTCGTCCTTGATACGGACGTATAGCGGTAATTTACCTATGCACTTACATCTTTCTCCCTGCGCAGCTAACACTGTCGTATTATCCGAATTATATATGCGGTGTCTACGGAAATACTTCCTAAAAAAATCTTCTGCCACATAGGAACACTGCGCGCCTGTATCCAGGAGTGCGGTGGCTGGGATGTTATTCACCAAAACTTCAATCTTTGGAAGAGTCAAATTTTTCACCATAACTGTATTTAACTTGAAGGAAAAGGGGTTTTCTTGGCCTTCGGATTTCTGCACCCTCAAGTCAGCAGAAATCCGTTTTCGTTTAAATTTTGTTTCTTCCTTTCCATGCCTTCCTTCTTTTTCCGCTGGCCTTCAGACCTTTTTTCTGGCTTACTATTGAACTGTCGACGTTCGCCGGTTGTTTTTGGATACTCGGGTTTCCTTGCCCACTGATTCGCTTTGCTTCCGTAGCCGTGTTCTTGACTTTGCTGTGGTCTTGGCGCACCAAATTGGCTTCGTTGCTCATACTGGCGTCTTCTTTCAATGTCCGCCGTTCTTCTACTTTCAAACTGAATTGCTAGCTCAAATAACTTTTCCAGTGTAGTCGGATTTCTTAATTCAATAAAGTCTTGCACTTGGGGCAGTAACCTCAGCAAAATCACTTGAATTATTTCAGGATCCGGACGGTTTCCATACAAGAGCTTGAAAACGTGAATTTTTCTTAAAATAAAGCTCGAGAGGTTTTCGATTCTTTGTTGATATATACTGAAAAGTTCCGTTTCTAATTTCGCACGATCCCTTACAACAGGGAAGGCTCTTAGTAGGGCAGTCTTGAAATTTTCGTAAGTATAGGTGGGACTTCCTGCTTGACCCAAGAGACTTCTGCCTATACGTTTGAACCAATTAAGCGCTTGTAGCTAAGGTGACTTTCTGGAACTCATGTACTGGATACAGCATGAAGTGGTCATCCAATTTTTCAAAAAAACTGGTTACCGGTGAGTTTCCATTGAATGCTGCTTCTGGTTTCATCGATGCGCGCATGGTCTGGACGATGTAACCAAATCCTTCCAGGACGGCAGCTGGCATTTCTGGATTCTGAGCCGCTTCTGCAGGCACCACAGGTTCTTCTTGAAACTCGGCCATGGTTATTCTTCTACGTTGGGCGGCACTATCAGGACTGGTATTCCTCTTTACTTGCTTTGGAAACATTAACTGTCCTGATTCGGAACAGGGAGCTTACTGAAGCTATGTTCAATAAATTGTGAAGTAGACAATACACACAGGAAGGGTATACGAAACCCTTTATTTTTCTCTCTTTACAATGATTTCCGGACTTCGGAATACAGAGACCAACCACTTGTGGTCTGAACGTAAGAGTATAAAAATATTAACTAAAACTCTAACTAAACTAACTTTGGATTAATAAACAAGTGCCTAACTCCAAGATTGGCCGTTAATTAACAAAAAGAGGTATGTAGTACAGAGAGCTGCTAAAAATACGATACTTTTAAAATTATCAAGAGGATTAAACCTCTGGCCTTGAAGGCAACCAGCAAACGAGTAAAACTACTATGACAAGCGGCCTGCTTCTAATAACTTCTTCTTCTCTCTTGCTTGGCAAAAAGCCACAACTTAAGTACTTGGCGTTAGCAAGACAAATTTGCATAAATAAGTTAAAAGCTTTTAATTCTGGCCGGAAGTAGAAAATAAGAAGTGATAGTAAAGATTTAAAATAAAATAAACGTTAGTAAAACTTAGGATCCTTACAAGTGTTGTTAGATTACTCACAGAGAGCTGACACACACACTACTTAAATTACAAATGCGTGTGATTAGCTTGAGTTCAGCTACCTTCGGCTTTTTGGGGGACACGTGCACTCAAAACTTGTACGCATCCCCCGATAGCCGAATGTGGCCAAACGTATGGTCTCAGTTTTCCAATCATAGTTTTGTACGATAGGAAAAGATCATATCATTACGAACATGTTTGACAGAATTAAAGTATTCAAATGTCAACTAGTTCTTTGGGAAAAACAACTTAAAAATGAAGATTTGACGCACTTCCCGACGTGCAGCATGAACAAATCAACTTTAGATGATACTTTTTCGTATCAAAAATACGCAGAAAAAATTGCAAATTTAACAACTGAATTTGAAACGAGGTTTAATGATTTTAGTTCCCTCGAAGACAAATTTTTTTTGTTTTCTTCAATTTTCTCCTATTGGACTCAGTACCCAGCCATACGCAAATGGAGGTGATCGAGATTCTATGCAACTCAAATTTGAAAGCAAAATTCATTGAAGTGGGAGTGCCTAAATTTTACAAATATTTACCAGCCACTTCTGAAAATACCCGAAAATTCGCATATGAAATTATTTCCATGTTTGGTAGCACTTATCGGTGCGAGCAGTTATTTTCAGTCATGAAAGGTAATAAGTCTCCTATTAGAAACCGTATTAATGATGCTCACCTTGGGTCAGCGTTGAAAGTTATCACTGCAAACAAAATTCCTCCCGAAATAGGAAAGATAATAGCAGAGAAGGGATGTCAAGTATCAGGACGTAAACATTAAATTTTTCTTGTTCTTTATATATATATATATATATATAGTATATATATATATATAGTTTATTATTGTATCGAAATAAATCTACGTTTCTATGAATATTGATTTTTTTTTTTGCGGTCCGCCTAAAGTTAAACCTTGTTTGTTTGGCCCAAGTGTACCTACGAGTTTGACATCCCTGGTTTAAAGGATTAGATGATTTGTTTATAATTAAGCAACTTTCGGACCCCAATCCTGAAATGTTAATAAAATGTTTCTGTACAAATATATATACATTTTTAAGCATGATAGAAAAGTTAACTTATTAGCATGTCTCTCTCTATGTATTCGTTAATTTTAATAAAGAAACGTCTTTGAATATTATTTGACGGAATATTATTGGACAGATTTCAGGAAAATCAGCTGCTTTGACTCAATTTTAATAGCTAGTAGCATACTTTTGCTTTAAACTAATTGAAAATTATGCAGTGTACTTTTTTGTTTTAATTCTAATTGTAGGAAATAAAAGAAATTTTCTATTGCCTTCTCGTTGAAAGTATAAACATTTCTTTTGAAGTTGGCAAAAAGATGTTTTCAGAAGAGATAGAGAAAAATTCAAATTTCCTTCATAATTTTACTATTGAAAAAATTTCTTAACGTAGGGCTTTGCAAAATTTTTCGCTATATCATTTACATAAATTTAAATAAATTAAGTCTGTTTAAAATTGTAAAAAGCAGCAACCATATATTTGAAGTTGATTTTAATCAAAACACATAGATTCCGAAAGCAATCAGGAGCAAGACATTTCTACAGTCTTTGCAATATGTTTTAGTGTTTGACATAGAGTTTTGATTGAAATCTATACAATACACAAGGTTGCTGTTTTGCCTAATTTTTAAGTCTTACATTGGAATGTTTCGCTTCTCTCTACATTAACTCGAATAAAACGTAATTATAATAAAAAAAAGCTTAAAGATATTTATGCAATAACTACATATAAAATATCTTTTTATCGATATTTAGTTTGCCAAATATAAAATTTTGGGAAGAGAGAGGAAAAATAAAATAAATTAAAGCATACTTACATATGCCCTTTTTGGCATATTTATACATTCCTGTTTCTGAATAATCACTCATATCAGTTTTCTTAACAGGAACTAATTCTTTTAATTTTTTCCCATTTTCATCTATTTCTTGCAAGAATAGCCCGAAACTGATGTCTTTACTGTCTGTTTCGAACTCCCATTCCACCTGCGAACCGGATTCTTTCACTTCGAATGGCACTTCCAATCGAGAACTTGGTAGCAGCATAATTTGTTTTACACCTTCATCTTGTGCTATGGACCTTTTGCTTTTATGTATGTAATAGCTCTCAGGTATTACGGCAGCATGACGTACCTGAAAAAGCGAATAGTAATTTCCACAAGAAACTTTTAAAATATACACTATTTTTTTAAGATATGTACCTAGTAGCGTAAAGAGTAACTGCATTTAGAAATTTATTCACTTTGGGGAGATAAATTTAAAGCAATAAACGGAAAACAAAGTAGGAAACGAAGTACCCAGTACTTTTTAAAACTAAAACTGATAAATTACTCATTATGGTTTCAATACGTTTTAGTACAATCAGTTTGTTGCAAGTACCTTCAAGATGGTATATTGTCGCTTCCCATTAAGCTTCTATTAGAGTTTTATATATTTTGTGCAATAAATTTTAGACATTTTAAGTTTTTCATACCGTCAAACGGGACTGAAATGAATTCTGATATTCGACATTTGCTAATGTTTTTTTTTTTTTTTTTTTTTTTTTTTTTTTTTTTTTTTCCCAATCAAATAACATCATTCAACATTAAAAGATTTGTCTTTAGTTTAGCCACTGTTACGTTATTAGACAACGCAAATGAATAATTTAATCACTTTGCAAGGATTATTTAAAATTTCTAATAATTATTTTTAATTTAGAAACCCTTTCCTTTAAATTATTGTTTTCCACTTACAAGTCCATACTAGAATAAGTTTTTAACTTCAGGGGAAGAGCGTGGGAGTCCTTAGTGGCACAAGTTTGCAGTCAGGCTACTTCGAAGTTTAAGCTAACTACGCTAGGCCGTATTGAACGTGGCGGCTCATTCACCGGTTAATTTAATTAATGGCCAAACTATGTTAAATACTTTTGTACAGCTTCGGCTAAGTTCAGTTTAGTTTATAATTAGATTATTTTCTTATCTTGATTTGAAGCCCAAGTAGAGGCTTTTCTGTAATCCCGAGATGGAGACCAACTGTACTTTTAATTTAATAAATGGTGAGTTTAACCCTTCTCTTTACTCTGTAGTTTAAGCACTAGGACTCACCGATAAGTTGCTACATAGTTCAACTAGGTTTCTAAGAATTCAGGCATACTTAAAATAGTTAGAAACATTATAACTTTCAGGATATTAAACAGCACACATGACGCAAACGGTCTTCCTTCTTTACGGTACGTTATTCATTAGGTAAAAAATCTTTCATCTGATAATCGCAATGATTGCCATGTAGCAGTAATTTGCAAGCAATTTATTCTAATCATGAGGCTGTAGTGGAATTTCTGTCATATACACTTTCTTTATTATGAAATAATAATGATTTAAAGTTATTTAAAGTTTATGCAGAGAAATAATATTATTTATTTTTCATTCCTGTAGAAATTAAACCTAAATTGCTAGACTGAAATTTACAGTAATGTACGAATCCCTTTCTGCTTTAGCACGCTAAATTGAAATTACGAAAGTATGCTTTTAAGCACGGTATCAGAACATATATAAGAAGTCAAAATTTTTTTTAGAAAAATACATTTCTTTATGGGTTGGGAAGGAGAGAAAAAAGAAACTGGGTCTAAAAAGAGGATAAAAAAATTAAGCAAGTGCTTTTTACTAAAAAAGTCGTTCACGTTTACTTCACTTTTAAACAGAAAATAGAAAACTGCAGACATTCAGTAGAGCTTTATAATGGAGATGAGAGTATCATATATTGCATATTTTGGGACTACTAACATGCAAATGAAATAAAAATGCAAAATAAAATGCTGGGTGTTTGTTAAGAAGTTACAAAGAAATGAGTTGGCAAGGTTTTTGTTAATTAACTCTAGTGTCTTATTACTGTAACTGTATTGTCACTTCTACTATCATTAGCACTTACCAGGAGGCAAACAAGTTAGTGTGTATAAGAAGAAAGTTCTTGAAAGTTTAAAACGATAGCTTTGGCAAAGTCATTGGTCTTCGAGGTACTTTCTCGCCCCGTTTTGAGAATTATTTTACTTTAACCTTTTGCTAACCAAGTTTGCTTGCCCTTGTACAGAGGATGTTTAAAGATTTTTAGAAATATTTCAATCAGTTAACTCATGTTTAAATTTTTATTTTATTTTTAAAGTTGTAGAGACATTAGGTATTTTTTGAAAGCTGGAGAGATGAAAAATGAGCAATGCTCTCGCCGGGACTCGAAGCCCGGACCTCTCGAATACGCGCCGAGCGTGATGACCACTGCACCACAAAGCATGCTAAGAAGGCTGGAGAAATACTTTATATACTTCCCCTTTTAAAGAGCGACTGGAGATCAGGCGACCCAATCGCTAAATCCTGGGTTGTGGAGAATCGTCATCCACCGCCCTTCTTAGTTCGGGCGGCAATGTAGAGACATTAGGCTATTTCGAATGCTGGAGACGTGAAAGATGAGCAATGCCCTTGCCGGGAATCGAACCACGGACCGGACCTCTCGAATACGTGCCGAGCGTGCTGACCACTACACCACGAAGGCGTGCTAATAAGGCGGGAGAAATACTTTATAAAGAGTTCGGTCTGATAGCGTTTTTTCTCATCTATATATCGTGATTTCCATGATAAAAGGGTTTTCGTAAAATTTCCAGGGGTGTGGATTTCATTCCTCTTCCACTACTATCCAAAGCCTATCAATCGTGGGAGATGTGTTTTAGAATGAACTCTTAAAAAAGACTAGAAGCACAATAGTTCATAGGTGAAACGTCAGAGGAATCTGCAGTCGTCTGACGTTGAATATCTTTTCAACAAACGTTTAAAAGGTATGAATGCGATACCTGTATCAGTCCTCATTTCTCCAAGGAATGTAGTGGCACTTTTCGAAGTACGGTTTATTGCTTTGATGAAGTTTTACTGTTTAAATCATCGGGATGAAGAAACAGAACTTCTTGAAAATTCGGATCTAAAATTTGCTCTTGAGATTAAGCTGATTTTAATACTTTTTTTTTCACAAGTTGTATTTTAAATTTCCTATTGTGAGATAATTCTACGACAATCATAAAACCCTACTCAAATTTTCTTTGCAATGATTGAGTCAGATTTCTACACTTTTTTCCTCTTCGTTTTCGATAATAAATAGATATTTATTTGTTGCTGTCATTTAAGTAAACCCAAGGGTCACAATGTATTTATGTGTATCTCCTACTAAATAGTTTACATATAGTGTTCTACAGATTGTTCTGCTTTGAGCCATATGCCTCGGCGAAAGCTGATGTACATTATGTTTTTAGCCTTTTTAAGCTGTAAATATTTATTTATTATTTTATTTTTTGTTACTACAGATATATTTAAAGTTTGAGCAATTGATTAAAGCAACTGATTTCTGCGTAGGGGGAGTTTCTCTTGTTACGAGCGATTTAAATATCAGAAACGGTATCTTTTCCTGGTATTCGTTTGGAGTCTTCTTTCCATGTAGAAATAATAACTGGCAATTTTTCCCTTTCTGCTTAATACTGTTGCTTACTTAGCAATTAGAAATTTTAATACCATGCATTTCACAACGTTTTTGGAATAATAATATTTCTTTTTGGAAAAGTGCAAAAATATATTCTTAAATCCAGAGCTTGTTTACATGCAACATTTTGAAAGAAGAATAAATTTAAAAGAAGCCGACGATATTTATCATTTCAAATAAATAAGCTCACAGTTTTGATTAGTCACAATTTTGATTTTGGTTCTGTAAAATTATCCATAGAGATTCTAAATTTAGTGAATTCAATTTCTTGGAATCCTTCTACATCCACAAAATTTTTTTTTTTTTTTAACAAGTGACATTAGTTCGAATCCAGGTTTTCGTGATTAATTGCTATTTTCCCTGACTGACGGCGTTCCGTTTATGTTCACATTGCTCAGTCTACCAATTTCCATATGAAATACATGTCGCCCAACCGTTTTACATCCACAAAGGTTTATCCCCTTTAGTGACATTAGTTGGAATCCAGTTCTCGAAAGGCTTAATTTTATCGTTATTCATTGCTATTTTCCCAGACTAATGGCACTCCGTTTGTGTTCACTTTGCTCCGAACACCGATTTCCATATAATGGATGTCGCCCACCAAACTATGCCAGAAAATTTTACTCCTGAAGAAGAGGGATCTATATCTGATTGCCTCTAAAGTCATTAGTTTTATTTAAAATCTATGGCAAGCGGAAGCTGCTTTTTTTAATTTTAAATTTTACATTTGCTAGTTTGTCTTCCAGTCAGGCAACTGATACAGTTTTGAAAGCTTCATATGCTTTTCTTTTGGTGACCTTTAGCAGACTTCCTTTTGACCTTTCACAATTTTTTATTTTTGAGAAATGTCCCTCTGAAGGGCAATAAATACTTCACTAATTTTGCTGAAGTGGGTTTTGAAATTATAGCACAAATATCTCTTCTCATTCGTATTACGAATGAGAAGACGCTTTCATGATTTTCATATTCACGCTTTCATGAGTCCGTGTTTAATACATATGTGTAGAAGGAGGATTTTAGCTAGATTTAAATATATTTGTAGACTACATTCTTATAGCCCAGACTTAAAAATGATTGACTAAATGTGTGGTTGCTGTGATGGTTTCTTTTCAGTGAAAGCAAGAGAATTTAGTTTAACTCTGCTATAACTGAAAAGACACTGAAACTGTAAAGACTGAAACTGTCACACTGAAACTGTAAAGACTGCAATGGAGATACTCAAAGCCATTATACTCCATGAGATTAAAAAGCGTTTCATTTAATATGCAGATTCTCCACCTCCCCCCAGTTAGGTTTTCATTTACCAACGTAACTGAAAGGTGTACTTTGCAACTGTGCAGTGGTAATACTTTCGAAATGGTCTTGGTGATTCTGTGATGAAATACACTCTTTTGCAAAAAAATCGAAGCATCATGAAGGAAGTGGTTATTTTTGATGAAATTGAATATGTGTATAGCTCCACACACAGATAATAAAATGATTAAAAATCAAGGTCATAGTACTTGTTCACGGCTCACAATAACCCACTGAATATTCAAATTAGTAGTTAGTCGAACCGCCCCTGGCGGCAATGCATGCTTGAATTCGTCGAGGCAAGGGGTGGTAGAGGTTCCTAATGTCATCCCGCGACACATTCTGTC